CCCTAAACCCTAAAACCGCAAACCCCGCCAGGCTGCTCGAGCTCGCGGCTCAAGGACCAGGAGATCGAAAGCCTCGAAGGTCAAATCGCTCATGCCCGGGGCCCTAGCAATTTAGGGGTTTAGGTTTATAGGGGTTTAGGGGTTTAGAGGTTTAGGGTTCAGGGATTTAGGGGTTTAGCGATTTAGGGGATTGAGGGTTTAGGGAGTTGAGGGTTTTAGTGTTTGCGGGTGAGGCATTTTTATGGGGTTCAGGGTGTAGGGAGTTTAGGTTGTACAAGCGGTTGCATAACGGTTTCTACAGAACGAAGTAGGGCTTGTTGAGGGTACTTCTGTCAGGATGAGGGTTCTATAAGGGCCTACGTGGGTTTCTGTAAGAGTTCTTTCAGTTTTTTTTTGACGCTGAGCCTTGTTTTCTTTGTAAGCCGTCATGTAAGGTTCCTTTGTAAGGGTATATAAGGGTTCTGGCTTTCGGGGTTTCGCTCTGCTTGTTAAATGCTTTTTGCCTGATCGTGAGGGCTTTTTGCAGAAAAGGGTTGTTAGCTAGTGTTTCTTTTGATGCTTACTGAAGCATTGGCAGGTAGGTAGGGTTTGTCATGGTATGAAGGAGAGATATTTCGGAGCAGGGATATGCAGCTTGTTTTTGTCGGGCTTCATAGATTTGAGGGACTACTCCCAGGGATATGACCAAGCATTTCGGTTATGAGTTATATGAAGTTGTATGCGGGATAGAAGAAGAGTAGTTCCAATAAAGGTAGCTATGACCTGACTTACAACCTAGTTACTAGCTCCCATGGTTCTTCCAAAACCTTCAACCCCAAACCCTCAACACCCCCTAAACCCTAAACCATAAAAATCCTAAACCCTAAGCCCTAGGCCCTAAACCCTAAACCACCAAGCCTTAAACTTTTAAACCTCCTTCAAAAAGGGTCAGTCAGGAGTGAAATGTTGCCCGGATCGTCAGGGAGAACGCCCTGCAGAGGATGGACCCCTCCAGCCTGAGCGCACCCGATCAGCCGACACTGGTCCGGTATCCAGAGACTCCAATATCCCAAAATTAAGGAATATACTTTAAATTATAGTAGGATCCCTAATAGGATTTAAGGTATATCCCTTAATTAAGGGGTATTGGAGTCTCTGGGTATCTGGAACGCTTCGGGGGCTACGGCCGCCAGCGCAGCACAGCTTTGATAGCGTGGCAAGTTGCCCAGGCCTGCGGCCTGCAGAGAGGATGGCACGAGGCTGCGGCGGATGTCGCTGCTGCTTGTGATGCTGGAGCAATCGGCTCTAGACTGGGGCGACCAGAGTCTGGGATGGCTCTTGAGTCTTCAGTCCCCTCCTGTGTCGATCTTTCAAGAAGTGAGTGTCCTCCCAAGCCCGGCGGCCCGAGCCTTCACTCCCTTGGCAGACCAGCGCTGGGTCACGATTGCCCTGTCTTACAAGGAGTAGGTGAACGGTTTAGTGTGTGTGTGTAGGGTTAGGGTATATTTCAGTATGTTTTGGTATATGGGTAGTTCTCTAAATTAGGGTTCGTTTTTGGGCCCTTTTTATAAGGGTGCTGTACTACATTGGGGACCTAAAGAGGGACCCTAATTCAGAGAATTACCCATATTGTAACATGCCATAAATCATATTATTGTCTGCTTCATGCTTGGGTGCAGTAGCCTGAACGAGCCGAAAGGTTGATTACAAGCCAAGGCGCGGTCAGAGAACAACAACCCTAACCAACGTCTTAGGCGATGGGAAGGCACCAATACAATAGAGGGGCCTTAATATTTAGAAAAGGGTTCGGGGTATAGTATACTATGATTATAATAAGGAGCCCCCCCAAAACCCTATTCTGATTAATAAGTCCCCTACACTAGCAGCAATGCAGCCCCTCGTAGAGAAGCCCCACATCCCGGATCTTGAACGCGTATAAAGCCACACAAAACCGATAAAGAAATCCACATACAACTGATATAAAAGCCTAATTATGAGAGCTTATGAATCAAACCCCAAACCCCCAGCTCTGTCATACAAAAGCGTCAGTAATGAGGTTTACGGGTTCAGGATAGTGTGGCCGCTTCTACACTTCCCTTAAAGCACAGGTACAACATACTATACCCCGAAGTGCTACTTATTTCAACCGTCTGGAGTTCATGGAGAGTCAGGGCACCTTTTAGTACGTACAGCCCCCGCAAACCCTTAACCCTAAACCCCCGGTGTCGCAGTCCGGGCGCGTGAACAGCAAGCTCCTGCAGACCGGGGACGAGACCCACTTTCTTGCTAAGTGCGGGGCTGAGATATACGTTTCGTATGGTTTAGGGTCTAGGGTACCCTAAACCCTAAACCCTAAACCCTAAACCTCAGGTTTTCGGTTTTTGTAGGTTTTGGAGCGATTTGCTTAAAGCTCGTTTGCGCGTCGCGTCCTCCAAGCCCACGGAACCGCATCCCTTTACGAATGCAGGGGCCTTTAGGGTTTAGGGTTTAGGTGGTTTGTGGTTTAGGTTTTAGGGTTTTGGGGTTTAGGGGTTTAGGGTTTAGGGGCTTAGGGTTTAGGGGCTTAGGGTTTAGGGGTTTAGGGTTTAAGGGTTTAGTGTCTAACATGGGGGCTTAAATAATTACCTATATTCTGTAGGGGCCTATTTTTGGGGTTGCTTTAAAGGGGTTCCTTAAAGGGTTCTATACAGGCTACTATAAGGGTTTAGGGTTTAGGGGCCTTACTAGTTACCTATATTATTTTGGCGTTTCCTTATTATATTTATGGTCTAATATACACCAAAACCCTATTCTAAGTATGAGGGCTCCGGCATTAACTAGACCGTCAACCGGTAGCCTACATTCAGTGCGCCGTACGTACTCCAACTCCCTTATCTTGTGGCAACACCGAGGGTGAGACCCAGCACATTTGCAAACCTCGCACAACACCCTTCAAAATCGCCCTATCCGACCTTTACACAAACAAACTCTACAAAACTTCTTGACACCCACCTGCAAGCTCCATAACACTTTGGAGAAACCCTAAACCCCTAAACCCCTAAACCCTAAACCCCTAAACCCCCAAACCCCTAGACCCCTAGACCCTAAACCCTAAAACCGAAACCCTAAACCTTAAGCCCCTAAACCCTATAAAGCCCTAAAAAGCACTAAAAACCCTTAAAAAAAACTTAAAAAGCTCGAAAGCCCTAGACCGTGGGACCCCAGAGACTCCTAAACCCCTTAATTACGGAATATACCTTAAATCTTAAAAGGGATCCTACTATAAATTAAGGCATCTTCCATAATTAAGGGGTATTGGAGTCTCTGGGAAGCCCTGAACCCCACAAACCCTAAACCCTAAAACCCTAAACCCTAAACCCTAAACCCTAAACCCTAAACCCTAAACCCTAAACCCTAAACCCTAAACCCTAAACCCCAAATCGGAGTCTCTGGGACACGGCAGGGAGACGATGGAGATGCTGAGTCAGTTCAAGCGGATGCGCGACATGCCCGAGGACCCCGGTTTTGGGGCTTTAGGGCTTTGGGGCTTTGGGGTTTAGGGTTTAGGGTTTAGGGCTTATAGGGTTTATAGGGTTTATAGGGTTTAAGTTTAGGGTTTAGGGTAGGGCTTTAGGGCTTTGGGGCGCCTTAAAAGGGTT